CGGCGCATGTGCACAAATGCCTCTCCGCAGCCCTTTTCAAAATGTTTGCGCAGGAAGAGCCATAAAATGGGCTGTATTGACCCAAAGATGCAATCCAAGTCGTTCGAGTGTAGGCCTTATCTACATCATACTATCAGGACGGAGAGAGCACAGATGCACCCCGGGAAGGGAGGGGACTGCATGCGTGAGAGGGAACGGCTTCGTCCCTTCTCTCCTGGCATGGGGAGGGGACTGCGGGCAGAGCTGGGTAATGATTTGTCATCGCCAGGGCTGGGGTGTCTCTCTTTACAGAGGAAACCTTGGCCGTGATTGACAGCAGGGCTGTTTTTTGCCGCTTCCCTTGCCGTTGACAAGTAATAATGAAGCTTTGTCAGTCCATCATGGATATGGATATGCCAGACTATGTTGACTCCTTGGACTCCTCTTATACCATGCTGGAATTTGACAATCTTCGGATGCTTCCCAATAACACCGGTGAGATTTCTGTTCGCTTCCTCTTGAATAACCTCCACTGCCTTTGTTATAAAGCTGAACACCTAGGGAAGGCAGGTAGGAGGTGTGGAGCAAAGGGTGGAAGGGGTAATATTTAAGCAGCTAACCTGTCAACTTCTGTTGCGTCTGCAGTTAGGTTTGTGCTGGAATGGGACCCTTTCACCTGCCAGTCCTATTTTGAGTTATTCTTTTCCTTGGTGGGCTGAGCATCGTGTCCTGAAGAGCCCACAAGGTATCGCAAATGTTGGCAGAGCTCTTCATGGCATGCCATCGGTTTGAGCCCCATACGACTTTTGAGAGGAGTTATTACCAATATTTCTTCCTTAAAATGTGTGTTTCATTTCCATATATCTCTTAGGTTCATATTTAATCCTTGGCAAAAATTGCCTTCTCAAATGACATTTGTCTATTACTTAGACAACACACCCTGTGCCCAATTTAACTTGTTCCTAGGAACTTAGACTGAGAAGCAACATTCAATTCGTTACTTGCTTTATATTTTTTTCTGGCTACCAAAGTTGTCTAAAAGCTTTTACAGCACACAGAGAGCTTGGCTGCAAGGCGTGAGTGTTCATAGGCAAAGACTTCCGCTTTGTTCACAGAAATAAACCATATTGCGTGAAGTTTAGGTTTTGAGCAGTTAAAAGTACTCGGATAGAAAGCAAATGCTATTCTGTGAAATTAACTGTTCATTGTGTAAAAAATAAAGGACATTTTAGTCCTATAGAATGACACCAGTCATGTAACCGAATGGGATTCCAACGTTAGCAATGCCCTCAGAGAGTTTTGGCAGCATTTCCTTTAATTTGTTAGGAAGCTTAGTGAAATTAAGAAGGGCTTTTCAGGGTTTCACGTTTGCTCATTAGCTGTCTCATCCAAAGACATCAAAGTTTCAGTAGGGTTATCGCCTACAATATAAAATGCTTAGACTTATTACTGTGGGACATGGGGGGATGTCAGGAGACAAATACAGTTAAAAGGCCCAGAGAAATTTGAATTTAAAGTTGATTTCAAGAAAGGCTCTGTCCGTCCCTAAACAAAAGATTTTTTTTTTTTTTTTTTTTTTTTTTTTTTTTTTTTTTTTTTTTTTTTTTTTTTTTTTTTTTTGCCAGCTCCAGATACACTGGATCTTATTTCTTATTCTTGCGGGAAGGCTTCCATCTGCCATCCTACTCCAGAAATGTTATTTAACACAGATGTTTCTCTCTGTCCCTTGCTGCTGAACAACAAGCTACTTTGAACTTTTTAGAGCGGTGCAAATTTCCTCAAAATTCAATATAATTTTGCAAATTAACTACCAAAGCCTGTTTGGGGCTCTCTCTTGTTTCATGCTGGGGAACTGACAGGTTGAGTTTTTTCTGCAGTTTATCTAGATCGGTATTGTGTTATTTGTCTAGCTGTTAATGAGTAACCGGTTCTCTCAGGAACTAGCTGTTTTGAAATTAGCTTGTTTGTCTTGGGTAAGTGTCCTCTTCTACAGTTTGTAAAAATAACTTCAAAAAGGACCTGAAATGTCCATGCATGGATATATATTGCTAACCAGCTGAGTCCAGTTCCCATAGGTAACCCAAAATACCAGTCCACACACGGACTCTGTAGTTTCAGAAATATCTTCAAAGTCATTAGAATCAAGAGATAATCGCAATTTAGGTCTTTTAAAAAAATATACTGCATTGTTTTAAACCCTACCTTTCCCACCGTGCAAGATTATTCTGTATTCTTTCCTCCACTAAATCTAATGGCAGTTTTGCCCTCTACATAAACACGAGCAGGAAGGGGTGCAATATTTATTTTAATGGGCTCAGGACTGTTGCTTACATTCTGAATGACTTTTTGAAGTGAAAATTAGAATATTTTCAAATAAGGTCGTGTTTTCTTAAAACCGTTTCCTTCTTTGGAATATTATTTCATCCACATTTTGGGTTGACTAATGATGTGGAGCACTTCTGGTGCTGAGTTTTCTGCTTCAGGAAGCTGCTATCATCTTGAGATTTGCCTAGATATATATTTTGAATTTTCCACCTTAAGTAGCCCATAATTTGCCAAATATTTTGAGACTAATTCAAAATAAAGAATAGAATCCATCATGGGAGTGGAGGGGGAGTATAAAAAAATTGTCCGTTTTAAATAGAAAGAATGGCAAAAGGAAATGAACAAAAATCAATGCTAACCCTGTCTTTCCTTTATAAAATATGTGTTGTAACTGCAGAAATTTTCCCATTCTGTACAAATTTGTTTCCTTTACCTTGGCTGGCATTACAGGCCATATTCTCACTTGGTTTTTATGTGCTGTTAATACCCATTTCCTCATGCTCTTGGCAGAGTTGTCACTTTGCTTAAAATATGAAGCATTATTGAAATATTGCACTAATTCTTTAGTCGAGTGTCAGCAAACACTTTCTCCCACGGTGGTGCTCGTTTTCCCATCTCAGCACTCAAACACCACGGCGATCCTTGGGACTTTGGCACAATGCTAGCCAAACCCTGTTCCCAGCCCCCGTTGCAGCCTGACCCAGTTCAGACCATGAAAAAGCCATCAGAGATATTTTGACAGTGCCTGACCTCAAGCCGCACGCGCGCTTGCAAGGAGCTTTGGTCTTTCTGGCTGGCCTCTCCGTTATTGCTACTGTAGGATTTGGGAACCCTAAATTAAAGCTATGTTTTATATCTCAAAAACTCCCCCACTATTTGCTGAAAGCCGATGTAGAAAGCAGCTGACCCGCACGTGGCCAGGGCGTCAGTGCTAGCCCCCATCCAGCCCTACATTTGTATACACAGGTTTTGCAATGCTGGCTTTGGCCACTGAGTTTGACTATGTGTGCATGCTCTAAACCCACGTTTAAACCCGCATTTATGACCTCTTTACATTCTAGCCCAGTACATGTAATTCCGGGATGTGTTAGCTCCATACTATATGCAACAAGACTGGCTTGAATTTCTGGGTAGATAAAAGCAAACGCCATTCTGGAAAGTATTGCAAGGTAATTCTCCTATAAAATGTGGATCTAGAAGAGATGTAACCAGTAACATAACTGAAAGGAAAAGCAGCAAAGAAGTCTGCAGTGGTCAGGTATCGTGCAGAGCTCCAGCTCTGAATGGAAGCCAGATACCATTCCCCAGAAGAAGGAAGCCAGATACCATTCCCCCTCACTGAGACCATCCTCACTGTCACTTCTTACCCCTGCAAAACTTGGCACCTTCATTTCAGCCCTGGTTTGGGTAATGACTTCCATACAGAGGCAGTAGGCAACAAAAATTTATATGCATTTCAGTTGTGAGCTTGGTTGACCCCAAAGCTGGTGAAGCCCCTGGGATACTCTGCTCAGCACTAGGTGGGCTGTAGTTCCCAGTCTGCACGCTGCTCATGTAGCTTGCCAAAGATGGTTGAAACTTTAGATTTTTCTGCCAGTGAATGTCCGTGATGCTCTTAGTGAGGAGTCTGGGCACAACCACAGGTCTTCAGCTGAGCCTGGGACCCATGCAAGGTCAAGATGAGTTATGGTCTCTTCTTGGAGAAGGTCATCAGTTGCATCTCTCCAGGAGAAATTTCAGGGGTGCTGTGGCACGGTTTAGGAGCTGGTCTGTTATACCATGGTGATGAGCATCTACAACCAATACACATCTCTGAACATCTCTCTCCTGGGTGGTGAGAACAGTTGTGAGCTTGTTTCAGTTGTTGTGAGCCAGCTGGACTCTGACCAGGTCCATCCTAGAAGCCCTCAAGCCTGTCTCAGTGCAGTGCAGAGCTCCAGGTAGCAACGCCACTGGAGAGGCACAACATGTTGAACGAAGCTCTGAGCAGGTTACTGCCTTGTGTCAGGCAGGGCTGAAGTAAACCGTCCACTGTTTTCAGCTGATTTCCCAGGCAGACGACTGTGCTGGCAGGGATCCTGGCTTTCCTCTGCCTTTCCTAGCAGTGATCAGTCCAGGGAAAACCCAGACATTCCCCAAACGCTGGGTAGGTTTGAAAGCCGCGTCTGAACAGTCTTCTGCTGCATGTGATACCGCTTATGCCTTTGCTCTTCTCTGAGCTAATTCTCATTTGGAACTCATCATTAGTTAGTAACTGGATTTTGTAATTAAAATTTATGATCGTAATTAACACGTGCATACTGGCTTAGGGCTTTCCTTTTCTTTATTTTTTTAAAATTTCTGTTCACGTTCAACCAAGCTGAAAAGGACACTTGGTTACCTAACAGGGACTGAACTTTTAGCTGTGTATCTGCCCTAACACAGACCCACCCAACTCAGCTGTAACCCCTGGGCTTGTCTGTGTTTTCATGGGTACAAGTGAGGGCAAAATTTGGTTTGCTGACTTCCATGGGCCCTCACGTGCTCAGTGCTGGTCGTCCTTCCTCCAGTAATACTTGGTTTAAGGCCAGGTTATTAATTTCGTCCTTATATCAGCAAGCAGCTCCTCACATGTTCTACTCTCATAAGGGAAAAAAAAAAAAGTCTCCTCTGGTGAGTAGATGCTTTCCAGCAATCTGGACCCTGCTGAAGGATGAAGGGTCCATTGGAGACCCAAAATGTATGACCTCAGCTTGATTCCTTTGAAGTCAGTGGAGAAAGCATGAGTGGAACAAAGAGAAAATTGGCTGCCTTATCTTTATTTTTGTTGTGTAATTTTTAAAATGGAATCCAGCACACTCGGCACATTTGTTTATGGTCATATGTTCCTTCAAAAAAATAGATGGAGCAACAGATGCACAAATGTTTAGCGGTACAGTTACCCTCGAAGGAATATTCCAGTACAGCTCATTTAATACTGGAAAATAAAATAAGGAATCAATGTAAAAAATCTAAAAATCAGTGTAAATTACCACTGAGCACCTCTGATGCAGACAAGGTTCCCAAAGGACCCAAGTGCCACTTACTCACAAATGTCAGAGCTGGGAGCATCTTATGTGGATTTTGGGAGCAGGTACATCTCAGTTCCTGTCATTATGACCTAAGAATGATTTTGATGCTGTCATTCCTTCTTGTCATGTTGCTCCCACCTTGCTACAACCTGCTTATTTATTCATCCATACCTTAGAAGGCGAAATATAGATCAAAAATGGTTTTTGAGGGGGTGGAAGGAAGTCTGACCTTTGCATTTGTGAAATCTTAGCTAAAAATATCTTAGTCTTAGTGTTAGCTAAAAACTTTCCAGTATTTAAAAAACTAAAGCTTTATTGGTTTTTTTTTCTTTTTGGCTTTTGATTACAATTTGCATTGCATAGCAAATATTTTCACTGTGAATTTTTGATGTGTATTCATATACAAAAATAGCCTTCTCTCTCTCTGTATATATTCATGTTGTGTGTGGATTACCCAAAGCTATTTTTATGCATTATGCATTGGAAAACTTTCTCTAGACTGTCCGGATCAGATGCCAGTTCCTCCCCTTTGAGTAATTTTCTCTGAGATTTGTCATTGCTCAACACAACAGCAGCTGAGCTTTTCCCATCACCGCCCGCCTCTCCTGCGAGGCAGGATGCACCTCGTCCCAGAGACTTTGCCGAGGTCGCTGTACCACGAGATCAGCACCCCTGGAACGATAAAGTCATAAAACTGTCCTGCAGTGAGCGCCCAGGTCAGGACAGACTCCACAAACATTCCTCCTCTTGGCAAGATGTAAACACGGTCAAGATGTAAACACTGTCATCTGTGTCTTCTCAAGTGTCTCTCTTTTTTTTTTTTTTCTTCTTCTTCTTCCCCAGGCTGTGCCTCAAATTAGGAGGATTAAGAGGACAGCAAGTCTGGTGGTTAAGGCCAAAGGCGAAGTTTAAAGGGGAGTTTTCAGCAGTGTATACACACGCCAGGCAGGGGCAGAGCTATTCCTGCCCCAATGGGTGGGTGCAAACAGAGGACATGACAGAGGGCATTCATATCACCTAATTTTAGGTCCCTAATTTAGAAGGTCAGTCTTCCTGCACCCCTCCGTTGCTTTCCAGTGAAAAGCAATGAGCCTCTTCAGAGGGCAATTCAGAACAGGAACCAGACTTAGGAAACTAAAGTGACCCTGTGGGAGCTGCTGTCTCTGCCTTCCAGCTGCAGAGGAGCTCTCAAGAGCAGTCTTTTATCTCCAACCCCTCTGTCACGAGCATGAAGTGGTTCACCCTTCCTGCCTCTGCTGTCTCTTCTCTGCTTTCTACTTACTCAGGCTAATGATGTTCTTTCCACTGTCTTCTGTGGGCACCGGTTTTGAACCATGTTCTCCATGTGTCTAACTGGGGAGGTGGCTTCCCATCCCTCAAAAGCATCTATCTCACATCCAGGTAAGGTTTCCATCTGCCAAGAAAAGTAGTGGGAATTGTTAGATTCTCATGAGCACGTTGGCTTACGCAGCTTGTAATCCCTCTGTTCACTGAAGCAAAGGAAAACACCAATAGCAGAAGCAAAGCTATCAGTTGAGGTTGAGAAGAGGGTGACCATCAATCTGGAGGCTTTACTAACAACACAAACTACGTGTGCACACATGTGCCTGGGGCTGGGTCAGTGCGTACTTTGCTTAAAAAAAGTGACTTGCTGTCAGCTGATTCTGGTTTCCTTCACAGAGGGGTCTAATGGTCCCTGTTCTCTGCCCGCAGAGGCCATCACAGCCGAATCGGCAACCACCAACCTGCTCACCAACGGCATCAGCTCCCTCTGCTCCATCTGTGGGGACCGGGCGACCGGCAAACACTATGGAGCATCCAGCTGTGATGGCTGCAAAGGCTTCTTCAGGAGGAGTGTCCGCAAGAACCATGTCTATTCCTGCAGGTACTTACCTCTTCTGCAATAAATAAATACAATTTATTGATGCTGTAAATATTTTGGGGTGGAGATCAGGTTGTACAACAGGGCCCCTATCCCAAATGTTGAATCACCACACTGGGAATGCTAACAGTAATACTGCAGTTTGGTTTCTGGCTGGGAAGACAGGGAGCTAAGGAGTAAGCCAAGTCTTACCTCATCTTGGACCCCGACACCTTCTGTGACACCAAGCAATCCATTTCATGAGTTCACCGTCACTGCTTTCCCCACAGTGTAAATCAAGGGAAACTTGTAGACCTGAGGTTTGACTGGTGTGTATAATACCTAAGTATAGATTCTGGGTGTGGAGTGACACCATGACCCTGTCACATCCCAGCACGGGAAAGCCAAGGTGGCAAAGATCAAAGCTCCAGAGATTTCATCTCAAACGCAGTCTTTCTTGATTTCCCCGGTAAAAAGCAACAAGCATCCAAGAACTTGTCTCCTCCAAAGCCTCCACCTCCCCCACAGCTTCTCCATTTTTGTTTTGAAATACATTAAACTATGTACGCTGACATATTACTGACGATTTTACAATCATTCTGAGAACCTAGCGTGGACCAGTGATGACTCACATCCACTTTGGCACACAGGTATACATTTGAGAGATTTTTTTTTTACCAGGAGGAGGCTATAAATTTTACAGCAGCTATCTTGGTTGACCTTAGAAAAACGGTGTTTATTTTAGCACAGGAGGAAGGCCGAATACACTCAAGCCCTTCATCTCTAATTAAAACCTGGAAGTTTTCTTTCTGTTCCAGAGCTCTTCCTCCTTTAAGGGCATTCCAAATTTTTGCAACACGAGTCACCCTGTTTGTTCAAAATGCTCCTGGGGTCCTTATCACTCCAGGAAACATCAGCCATGAAAGACACTTGGGGTGACAGCAGTGTCCATCTGCACGGTGCCCATCCTAGGAACCATGGGATCCCTGCAGGAGGAGGCAACAGCTACCACTGATTTCTTTGAAATTTCGTTGATCAGTCTCCTGGGAGCAGAGTTGTTTCCCCTCTCCGGGAATCCATGAATTTCTGTGATATTTGGCAGCTCAGGGAAGATCCACTGCATCGAAGCCAAGCAAATGGCAAATGCTTGCTTGTCTGCAAATCCTTATTTGGTGAGCCATGCTGCATTTAGCCCAGCTCGGGGCTCTGTTGTTTATCACAGATGTGAATTCCTTGGAAAGTCTTCAGGCCTTTGTACCTTTGGGTTTTTACCAGTCTGGGAAAATGCCTCAGCTTTTACAACCTGATGATAGTCCCGAAGCAACCCACACCGTCTCTTCTCTGCATGGCAGGTTCCTCTTCCGTTGCTTCACCCACTGTAGCAAGAGCTGCCAAGTCTACGTGGGCCACTCCTTGAACAGCACATAGGTTCCTAAATCCCCCGTTGAAATGAATAGGAACTGGGAGGCCACGTGCCTCAAAACTAGGCTGAAGGCACAGAAGAGCTTGTGGTCCATAGTGTAATTATTCTCCACAAAGCAAGACTGTTAACAAATGGGATTGAATGAGTCCTGACGTCAAGAACCCAATAACTGCCTGAAAGTGGGAGATGGATTTCCGACACTGCCAGGCACCGGTACAACTTAAGTCACAGTCACGCTTTCACAGCCAGAACCATCACAGTCCTCACAGGGTGGGTGGTCTGAAATCGCTGCACTCCCAGCTGGCAGGAATGGCGGTGGGGAAGATGAGGAACTGGGCCAAGCCAACGTTGATTCAATCCATTTCTTGCAAACCTTTGGCTCTTCTCTGGGTTCAGGCAATGAGTAGCTCAGTGAGGTCTGGGACTGTGTTCGGGGTGCTCGAAGTGAGTGGAGTCTGGTTGCTCCATGTTTTATTTCCCATCTCCTCCCAGGTTCAGTCGACAGTGTGTGATAGACAAAGACAAGAGGAACCAGTGCAGGTACTGCAGGCTGAAGAAGTGCTTCAGAGCTGGCATGAAGAAAGAAGGTAGGTGCAAAGAGACATTTCAAAATGGCCTGCTGCTGGCCCTGGCCCTGCTCCCACTGCAGAGCGTGATGGAGAGCAGCGGCAGCCCTGGCCCAGGGAGATGATGCTCACATGTCACAGGGAGAGGTTTCTTGTTGTCAAAGCTGAAAGTCCCATTTCCTATCTTATCAGAGGGGGAATTTCAATTAGAGCCTTGCGACAGTATTCACCCATCCTGGGAGGCTGGTCCCTTTAGGGTATTTTTATACTGGGAAAGAGATGGGCTTATTCAGGGTTTATTTAGCCTCTAATTGTTTCATGACAGAAATTCCCTTGCTATGTACCTGCTGGTGTGACTCCTAATCCCAGTAGTGACAGTCTCAGCGAGGACCTGCCATCCTCAATCTCATAAATGCCAACAACCGACTACTGCAGAGTAGCGTTTGGTGGTTGACTTGGCTGATGCTCCTGTAGCTTGGTGCCACCCTTAGGGCAAAGCACAGCCTGAACACGATGCCTTATGGTGTGAGAGGCTCCTCCATGGCGCAGGGCACACAGAGGCTCCCAGAAGCAGGTGGCTTCTGTGTCCCCTGAGTTGGGACCCAAGTCAAAGTCAAACCCTTCAGTAGTGCTGTCCCCGTGGTGGGTGTAGCATGGCTATAGAGCCACTATCGGTACCAGTACCGAAGGGCCAATCCAATATTGGCTGATGCCTTTTGTTGCACTTCACATTGGCTGCATTAAGAGGGAGGTGGAGCATTGCAGAGCATTTGGTTACCAGTGACCATCGAGAAGTGCCCTTCCAATGCACTAAAGGAAACTCTAATTGTTACAGTGCCTAATGCTGAGCAAGAGATAAAACACTTTGGTCAACCTATGCCTTAAGACCCTACAGCCAGCTTCCCTGGGAAAGTTTGGGACCTATCACAACATTTCTGGTCTCTGATCATTCAGTGTTTGCATAGTGGGAGAGCATGGATGACACTATTTTACTTAGTCTGAGCTTTCTGGGCAGAGACTGGTACATCCCCCTGGTGCTCAGGTAGTTGGGTGATGGTTTCGGCACTCTTCACCCTTCATTTTTGCCATTTTCCAGCCCACTGACAGCTGAAGAGTGAGGGAGTTAAAAGGAACATGAGAGTTTCTTTCCATGCCACCAAGTTAAAAATCCCCTACCCAAGGGGTGAAATCATGGTCCCAAGGAAACCAAGGGAAAATTTGTCACTGATTTCTGGTAATTCATAAGATTTCACTGGTGATGAAAAAATCTTTCCAACCTTCTGACCGTATGTTTTCCTGGAGAACAAGGGTGTCTTGCAATTTGGCATAGCCCATGGATGTAGCAAAAATGCCTGCTGGTTTAATTTAGGAGAAATGGAGTAAATACAGCAGATGGAAAAAAAAAAAAAAAGCCCTCAAAGTAATACAGACCAAACCGAAGCATATCTGGTCAGTTCTAGATGCAGTAAGCTCCACAGCTTGGAAAGGCAGAAATCTGGTTATCAGCTCCATTCTTTGAGCCGAAGCATAATTTTTATTGGGTTTTATGGTAAAAGTTATAAAACCTTGGCTCATGCCTTCATCATTGATTGCAGCCCGATGGAAGATGACTCATCTCAAGTTCCACATAGTCACATTCTTTGAAACTTTTTATGAGTGCGCAGTCAGGTTGTGTGCTCGCAGACAGCTCATGTGGTTGGTAAGGAAAATTTTAAAGCACCTTGAGCAACTGCTTTGTGGAAATTAGCTTAGGGAATTAGACCAGAGCTATATCCAAAGCATGTGTGCGGGTCTGTGAAAGAAATTTTCTTGCACAATTGTGTGCACAAAAAGAACAGAGTTATTTGCTTTAGGGTGGTTCTAGATTAATATTAAACAGTATTTGCGAAGCATTGGGGAAAAAGAGAATCCATGTCTTGGGGTGGAGCAGTATGAGGATGATACAAATGTTTGTGTGTAATTTTTCGGTGGCACGCACTGATTTGTGTTGGGGAGACCACAGCTGTAACATCCACACTCAGTGTGTCCCCTTGTCCCGGCACTGGCACGCAAGAGTTTGACACCCTCTTTCTCTGGCACAGCACTTCTCAGCCAGCCCATATAACAGCAACCAGGCTTTCCAAGGTGTCGTGGTTAACCCCAGCCGGCAGCTCAGCTCCACAGAGCCACTTGTTCACCCCCCCTGGATAGAATGGGTGAGAAAATCGGAAGGGTAAAAGAGAAAACTCATGGGTTGAGATAAAGACGGTTTAAGAGGGAAAGCAAGGGCCATGCGTGCAAGCAAAGCAAAGCGAAGCAAAGCAAAGCAAAACAAGGAATTCATTCCTTACTTCCCACCGGCAGGCGGGTGCTCAGCCATCCCCAGGACAGCAGGGCTCCATCACGTGTAACGGTGACTTGGGAAGACAAACGCCATCACTCCCAACGTCCCCCCCTTCCCTCTTCTCCCCCAGCTGTGTGTGCTGAGCATGATGTCGTACGGTGTGGGATACCCCTGGGGTCCTGTAATAATTACAGGAAAACAAGAATAAAAAAAAAGAGAGGGGGGGAAAAAACCCGAGAGGGAACAAGGGAACAAAACCCAGAAAAAAAAGCAAGTGATGCAACTGCTCACCGCCCGCCAACCAACACCCAGTCTGTCCCCGAGCAGCGATCGCTGCCCCCCAGCCCAGTTTCTATACTGAGCGTGACATCATATGGTATGGAACATCCCTTGGATCCTAAATCCAAACCACAGTGTTATGCCCGCTACTAGGAAGAAAATTAACCCTATCCCAGCCAAAACCAGGGCAGAAGGTGTGGAAATAGAATTGTTTATTCACAGTAGAGGGGAAGAAGCTGGACGCAATCCTTTTCCCAGCCTGTCTGTGACAATACACCTGGGGGGGGTGGGTAGCAGGGCTGTGTCACCCTTGCACGCTCCCCACTGCCCGTGTCCCACTGGACGGGTGTGTGCGCAATATTGGAAAACTTGCTGTTCCCCAGCAAAACTAACTGATAAACTGGAACTTTGGATGCAGAGTGCTTTTTTTTTTTTTTTTTTTTTTTCCCAGCCTTCCTTCCTATGTTGTAAGATGTGACGTGACGCATTTGGATCTTTCTTTCTCTCTTTTTTTTCCCCTGTTGGAAACAACTCCCGTGCATAAGAGATTGAGAGGGGCTATATTATCTGGTCTGGTAGAAGGGAAATTTCTGCCTAAAAAAAAAAAAGCCATAAGATGAAAACACCCAAACTAGCTTTAAACTGGCTGTCTATAGGGGCAACAGTGCAGTCACAAGCTGGTCCTGGGAGCAATGGGGCTATGGGCTTGCCGTGGGTTTGGGGCAGCTGGGCAGAGGTTGTTGAGCAAAGCGCCAGTCAGGTCCCTTAGATTGTCTTGTTTGTACACTCCAAATCTCATCCTGCTTTCAGAAAGGACCAGGACTGTCCCACACGAGCCCTACACCTCCAGGCTCGTGCATTGAGATGGGATCCAGGTTCCATCAGTGCCAGCGTGAGCAAGGAAGGGCCCAAACTCATGTCTTGTGGAAAGTCCAGTCCCCAGATTTCCTAGAAATTAGCTCATTCAGAAACAATCCTATCCCAATCGCGGTTTTGGTATCAATAATTCACTTTAATAACTAGAAGTAAACAATCATTAAAGCTGGGACGAGGGGAGAGGAAAAGGCTTGCTTGAAGGCAAACCCCTTCTTGCCTCCTGAAACGCCGCTATGATCGGGATTTCAGATTTTTACAGGAGATTCGCTCCGTTACTCTTGTTTCATGGTTAAGGCTGGGACTGGACTGCAGGGCGGTCTGGATGTTTTGGGATTTTCTGGCTGTTCTCTGATTTCCTCTCCTTGCACAGGAGAAGGTTTGATTTCTGTTGTTTTGCACAAGGCGAGCGGACAGGGTTTTGGTCACTACAGCACCCGTGAACGAGGAGTGCACCAGATACTTAAACATCCAAAGAAAATAGCAGGATACTATTTTTAGCATCTTACTGAGATCATATTTAACCTTGAATAAATTAGCAGGGTGTGATTTTTCAAGTGAGCCAGGTCATCTATTCACGTGGAGTTGAGTGTCTGAAAACTTGGAAGCCTTTGGAAATGCCAGCCCTGCACTGTCAGGATTTGGTTTGCTGGTGAACAAAAAGAGGGGGTTAATATTTAACCTCTCATGCCCTTTGAAGTAATTTATAAACGTACAGGAACTTCGTTAGTTTTGCACAGGACTAAAAGGAATTATTGTACCACTTACAGCCACAACACCGTGGGAGGATTTGAGGCTATTTTTAATTTATTTTTGTTAAATTGGGCAGGCTTATGGGACAGTTTTATTTCATGGGACCTCCATCTGGTTTCATACCTGTTGTTTGCACATCTCTTCTGCCAGCTTTTAGATGGCCGAGACTGCAGTTTATTGCAAAGATGGATGGAAAAGTTAAAGCATCTTCCCCACCTTGTGATAGTCGTAAATCAAGCCAGAAGCCCATGAAACAATTAAATGTGCATGTACTATTGGGATTTATTTGCAAATACGATATACCACACCTACAAAGTCAGAGGTAGCTTGGGGAAAAAGAATTAATTGCACTTATAAATTAATCAGGCAGCAGAAGGAGGGGCGACAGGAACACTGGGAGCGCTGGTGAATATTGGCACTGTCCTGGGGCACCTGCACCGCCCTCCTCCTGCTCTCTCCTTCTGCCATTTATTAATACATTTCCAACTCCATTGGTGTTAAATGAGGATGTTTTTAGTGGAATAGTAATGGAAATGGTAACTCCCATATAGGCAGGGCTTTAATCTCTGCAGTTACCGTGGAAAGTTACTGGTTTGCTGCTGTCCCCTTCCAATCAATGCCTGTGCCTGTATTTATTGGACTCCCTGCAGGTTCCTCATCACGGGCTCTGTACCTATGTGGCAAAGCAGCAAGGACAAAATGTTTGGGAAACACGGGTTTGTTGCAATCCCACAAACACACTGCTGGTTGCTCAAGAGCCACCGCACGTGCTCCGCAGCCTGCCCAGCTGCCAGCATCCTTGATGCAGTCATGGCAAAAGGGCCCAGGCTTGCTCTGAAAACCAAAATCCCTCCGAAGGCTCCTCTGTGATGGAGAACATTTTTGTTTTCCCATCTGCTTCCCACAGCAGGACACGCCGCAGCCATGGACAATTCCCCGGAGGGAGATGTAGGCACCATCTTGCCCTCTCTTACTGGCTTTGGGGACTGGAGCGTTGTGCAGGGGACAGGTTTAGAGAAAAAAAAAGGGCAAGCAAAGCTTTTGCTGGGCATATACTGGAAATAGTAATCCCTGGGAGACAGTGGGACTGGGATTTTAGTCCTTCCTGCAAGTGTGCTGAGTTTTATTGATTGCAAAGCCAAGATCTCATCTGAGCCCAAGCACCCTCAGTGCCAGTGCACCCCCAAGCACTCCCAATGCCTCACCACGAGTGACCTATCCCTTCCCTTTTACAAGCACAATAAATACAGCAATATAATTACCACACAGTAATAGATTAATTTTTGTGGCGGGGGGGAGGTGACCTATCCCTTCCCTTTTACAAGCACAATAAATACAGCAATATAATTACCACACAGTAATAGATTAATTTTTGTGGCGGGTAAAATATTAACTCCTTTTTGTATCTAATTCCATTACATCTTGGGTACTTTCAGTGATAACACCCAAATCACCTTGTGAAAGTCGGTCTGTCCCATCCACTTACACTTGAAGATTGAGCTTATCGGAGTATGAGGGAAGCACTGAAATATGTGCCATAAAAAGACCTAGGAGAAAAACAGGCTGAGGCTTCTTAAAGGAGTCTGTCATTGGGGACAGGGATGGGGTCTGCCTGGGTTTGTAGGACTCACGTAAAATAAGATGTGTAACTTGGTTGGAAAGGCAAAATTTGTAAGTGTAAGTGGGCAAAAAGAGCCCCATCACCCCCAGAGGGCTACGTGGGGGAGCATCTGATATGAAACCAGGCATAGACAGGGGTGGGGACTTTCCAAGGACGTCAGCGATGATATGGATTAGGGCAGGCTTGTCTCTACTCAGTGCTGGGTGCTGCTGCCCATCTTTCTGGTGTACCAAAAAAAGCCATGAAGGGTTAATCTGTTCTGAAGATTAAACACAGGTTATGGTTCCTATAACCACCTTCAGACTGGCGGGGATCCCCAGCCGAACGGCCTTTTTTATCACCCCCCCACGCATGGGGCAATGTATGCTGCTATCTAAGGTGGGTTAGCAGAGCTTCCCAAGGGCTGTAGTTGATTTTTCTTCTCTAAATTGATGTCTAATTGCCTCTAAGTAGTATCCATAGCCTGAAAAAGCTCCAGCAATATCTATGTGTGTTGCATCTTTTACAAATTGCTGTAGCCATCCAGCCCCTCGCAGGCAAGGTTGGCCCTGAAGTAAAAAATGGTTTTGGTGGCTGGATCCCAGCAGACCCCCCCCCCAAGCACAGCCATCTCCACAGCGAGCGGGTTCCGACTGACAGCAAGGCTGAGCCCCAAATCCTGGAAAGTAAATACGATGCTCCTGCCGATAACGGGAGATATTGATTTTTGTCACTGTTGCTTGATTTCTGCCCTTTCGCTTCATTGGCCTCTCATCAGAGGCTGGTTAGGACAACAGAGCAATGGTTGGATGCGAGCTGACAAAAACACCTCCCCCACCTTCCCACCCCGTGTGCGAAATGTCCATGTCTCCTCCTTTGCATGAATGCAAAGGAACGTGCCCCATGCGAAGAGTGATGCTTGCTCTAAAGCAAAGCCCAGCAGCAAGGCAAATTCTCGAAAGAGTGATGGCAAAATGATTTTACAGACTGGAAAAAAAAAAAAATTGTTGCTGGAAAAATTTTCTCTCGTGGCCACTTTTGAGACAAAGCTGCACTTTTTCACATCCAAGGGGTTAAATCACAGAATGAGTCACGCTTTGACAGATATTTCTGAGTCATTCCCCCTAAATAAAACCAAAAGGAGCCTGGAATTGCTGTATGAAGGAGGAAGGATGTGCTGAATTATCACCACATGCTAAATCTTCCTGCTCCCTCTGCTTTAAGGACCTGACGATTGCCTTTTCCAGTTTTACACAGCCAAGACCTATGAGCTGGCAGGAAAGCGCTGAGTCTGCATTCAGGCTCCTTCCTCCAGCCCCATGTGGGCTTGTTTGCTGCTGGTGCCCCATGCGAAGAGTGATGCTTGCTCTAAAGCAAAGCCCAGCAGCAAGGCAAATTCTCGAAAGAGTGATGGCAAAATGATTTTACAGACTGGAAAAAAAAAAAAAATTGTTGCTGGAAAAATTTTCTCTCGTGGCCACTTTTGAGACAAAGCTGCACTTTTTCACATCCAAGGGGTTAAATCACAGAATGAGTCACGCTTTGACAGATATTTCTGAGTCATTCCCCCTAAATAAAACCAAAAGGAGCCTGGAATTGCTGTATGAAGGAGGAAGGATGTGCTGAATTATCACCACATGCTAAATCTTCCCGCTCCCTCTGCTTTAAGGACCTGACGATTGCCTTTTCCAGTTTTACACAGCCAAGACCTATGAGCTGGCAGGAAAGCGCTGAGTCTGCATTCAGGCTCCTTCCTCCAGCCCCATGTGGGCTTGTTTGCTGCTGGACGGAGGCGATAAGGCTCAGGGGAGAAGCTAACACTGAAAACAAGGTTGCTCTAAGTCTAAATTCTGCTTTTCCTCTGCTGCTGATTTACTTGATGGCTGCAGTGGAGGCAACTCAGTTCTTGGAGTCTGCGTTGCAAAAATAAGCTGCTGAAATGCAAGAAGTCCCTTGTGTTCAACACGCAGGGTTGGAGGAGCATGGGGCTAGATGTGGCTTGTGCTTCAGGGAAAAGGATGGTGGAATAGACCTCAGAAAAAAGCAGTGTTTTATCTAATTCACCATGGCATGGCCGTACCTTTCTGTCTGCAAAAAGCCCAGGGCTGAGCTCTGCTCTGCAGTGGTCGCTGTAGCGTGTCCAAGCAGAAGGGGCTGCCCAGGGAAGGGGTGGAGTCCCCATCCCTTGGGGGGGATTTAAAAGCCGGGCAGACGAGGTGCTTAGGGCCAGGGTTTAGTGGTGGGATGGCAGGGTTAGGGGAACGGTTGGGCTTGGTGATCTGAAAGGGCTTTTTCCAACCTAGACGATTCTATGAATGGTTTTAAGGTGGGATTGGCGAATTTGAGCTTTCTTTCCTTGGAGCTTCCTTAATGAGGTAACTTCCTTCTCCCTGTGAGTGGTGGAGGTGTCTCCTGGGGACCAGCGCCTGCAATGCCTCAAGGGCAGGGGACACTTCAGGGCTGCTTTGAGGTGGGATCAGAGGATGGTTTTTCCAGTGCTGCCCCTAAGAGGCAACCTCAAGAGCATCCTGCTCTACTGGGAGCTTGGGAGAGGAGTCCTCAGTGGAGACATGGCAAAAAGGGTATCGGAAGCCAGGACTCCAGCAGTGTGGGTGCGTTGCCAAGTGAAAAGGGTAGGCATCGAATCCCCAAACTCCATGAGATGCATCAATCCCAGTGGGACCAGCTAACGTCCTGCAGGGGTTGCTCTGACTGCCAAATGGCCTTATCTCTCTCTGTTGCTCCTGCGCTTGGTCTTCTCCCTCACTGGTGGTCTTTTCCTCTCCCCGGTGCCTGTTTAATCGTATTCCAGCATCCCACACAGCTGGAGGGTCTTGCAGGCATTAAAGCCCCATCCTCTCCTGTTTGGGGACCACAGGTAACAGCAGCCATTGGTTGCGTGGGAAGTTTCTTGCTAACACAGCCACCGCTTGCTCTCATCTCAGCCGTGCAGAACGAGCGTGACCGGATCAGCATTCGCAGGAGCAGCTACGAGGACAACGGCTCGCTCTCCATCCACGTGCTCACTCAGGCCGAGGCCATGGCGCAGCAGGTATGAAATGCAGGGACAGCCCTCCAAACGAGCGCGTGGCCTTCAGCTATTCCATAGGGGGTTATGAACCCACCAAACCAACAAGGGCCGGATCTTTTTCTGCCCTTGGATGGCTCTCGCACAAAGCCACAGGGAAGAAAACGCCTTAGGGATATCCAAAAGCAGAATTGTGTGGAATTGTGGATGAGAAATATCCCCCCCCCCGCCCCCGCCAATATTTAATTGGCATCTCAAACTGCATTGCCTTGGTTTTTCTGAAATTGCCAGGACACAGGCAATGAGGTTATTTGGGCATCGGTGCTTAAAAAGCAGACAGTAAAAATCCTTGGTGCACTATCAAGACATGTCCTGTCTTGTCAGATGCAGCCTTTGGGATGTGGGACACAAAGCTGAAGTTCCAAGGGTTGAGGGGTGTTGCGGACCCTAGGTCCCCTCTGCCCCCAGGCTAAATTGTTGCTGCACCCCTAAAAACTCATTGCATTTCATGAAGAAGTTCATGTCTCACTGCTGCACACTTGGTCCTGCTCAGAACATAATGTTCCCATCATGGACAACGATATCTTTTCTTGTATTTTCTTTACCAGGGCAACAATTTTTGGGGACAAAAATAGAGCTAATAAAATCACTGGGCTTTAGCTAACACTGATTGCTTTCTTATTTCATGTTCCACAATGAATTTCACCCTGCGCGTCCTTTAAATTCTTATGCAAATATCCTCTCTCCACTGAAACATATGGTCCAGATGTTGCATATTACATGCAGCGATGCATCCGCTTCCTTTTCAAAAATTACTCTGTTTTAACCCTCTCCCTGCCACGCAGCTCTTCAGAGATTGATTTGGGTGGGTTGTGTCCCGGAGAGCTATTTGAGGGAGGACGGTCGGATGCATTTTTTGCATTTGGCTGGCTTAAGTGACTGATAGGAAGGTGAGGCCCAGTGCTGCTGGCTGGTGCTGGGAAGGCGAATATGAATCGGATTTTGTCCTGAGCCAGCCTGGAGAGCGGGGAAGGAGGCGGAGGAGGGAGGGGTGTCTGTTGGGACTGAGCACCACCTCGTGGAGGCTTCGCCATGGGCTGTGCATTGGGCAGCATTCACCGCTGAGCACATACGCCTGCAATCACAACAGCAAAGGTCTTCTCAACGACCTGATGAGGTTAATGTCGGTGAAGGCTCCCCGTGTTTTCAATGAATTGTTGCTACAGAGGATGACAAAGCAGTACAGATCTGGTCCCTGTGCAACCGGATTGTTTCTCTTTCAGTATTCGTCGCTGAGTCCGGTGCACAGCACGGACATTGCTATGAAGAAGGTTGCAACTATCAACGACGTCTGTGAATCCATGAAACAGCAGCTTCTGGTGCTGGTTGAATGGGCAAAATACATCCCAGCTTTTTGTGAGCTCCCACTTGACGACCAGGTAAAATGCAGATGCCTCGTCCCTGCAAACCCACCGCCTTCGATAGGAATTCCCAAACATAGATTTCAACAGGAGAACCTGACATTAACGTACAGAACATACAGATTGCTCTGCAGAGCAATAGCCTAGCAGGAGAGAAAGAATAATAGAGGACAAGGGATCAATTCAAAATGAGTCAAGTAGCCAAAGTCCCCCAAAATGTGATAGAGTTGGTCACTCCAGTTTGCAGAAGGACCCAGTCACAAAAGACTGGTTTTCCCTTTATTGGTACCTGATAGTTGAATATAAAAGCCACTTATTTCCTAAGAACTCCCATTACTCAAGCTCCTCTTTGCTCTTGCAGTTCACAGAATCCCAGAATCCCAGACTGGCAGGGGTTGGAAGGGCCCTCGGGAGCTCACCCAGTCCCACCCCCCTGCTCAAGCAGGCTCACCCAGAGCAGGGGGCACAGGACAGCGTCCAGGCGGGGGCTGAATATCTCCAGAGAAGGAGACTCCACAGCCCCCCTGGGCAGCCTGGGCCAGGGCTTGGGCACCCTCAAAGTAAAGAAGTTTTTCCTCATATTCAACTGAAACCTCTTATGTTTCAGTTTGTGCCCATTGCCCCTTGTACTGGCGCTGGGCACCACTGAGAAGAGCCTGGCTCTGTCCTCGTGACCCCCACCCTTGAGATATGTGTAGGTGTTGAGATCCCCTCTCAGCCTTCTCTTCTCCAGGCTGAACAAGCCCAGCTCCCTCAGCCTTTCTTCCTAGGGGAGATGCTCCAGTCCCCTCATCATCCTTGTTGCTCTCCTCTGGACTCTCTCCAGGAGTTCCTCATCTTTCTTGAACAGGGGAGCCCAGAACTGGACCCAGTGCTCCAGGTGGGGTCTCACTAGGGCAGAGTAGAGAACAACGTTTTATTTAGTTTGCCATGAATGTAGCACTTCTGAAAAGTGAAGATATAATTTCTAGCTCTTAATAGTACTTTATCTGTAGATCTGACATAACTAGACCAACACCAAACTTGGCTTAATCTAAACAGCCACAGCTCACCATTCCAGTCACTGCTTTTCAAACGTAATATTATTTCTTTCTTCTGTGCCATCTCCAGGTTGCCTTGCTCAGAGCCCACGCTGGGGAACACCTGCTCCTCGGGGTGGCCAAGCGGTCCATACCCTACACCGATTTTCTGTTATTAGGTAAAGTACTGCAATACACTCCCGCTTTCATAATTCGCACACCCGAGTCATTGCCAAGTATCCTGCCTGCCTGAAATCCTCTCTGCACCCCTGGGCATGGGTAGCACATCTGGCTTGAGACCAAGTGCTTGGGAAGGTCTCTGGAGAAGCCTAAAAAAGAGCAAGCAAATTCACTGGGACTTTTGCAACTGTTCCCTTACTGCTTTGAAATTGTGGATGAGAAACACACCCACCCACCTCCCCCAATATTTAATTGGCATCTCAAGCTGCATTGCCTTGGTTTTTTTAACTGAAATTGCCAGGGCACAGGCAATGAGGTTATTTGGGTATCAGTGCTTAAAAACTTAGCAGAAAGGTCTATTAAAAATTATAGTCTAAATAGGCATCTCCTTTTCATCTGCCTTCAAAAACACAGGTGGGATTATTCTTGGAAAAATGAGAATACTGACCTTGAAAGCCACACATTAAAGAAAAGAGGGAAGGAGAACTTTATTTAAAAAAAAACCCACCAAAAATAAAGATGCAACAGGACTTGCGAACAGATGCTCGGTATAATGGAGGGTAAGCCGGAGCAGAACGTGGAGCAGGCTTTGTGTACAGTGTGGGTGCACCCACGTGAGCAAACAAGATAATTAAGGACCAAAGAATGAAATCCACGGCTCGCTTCTCAATGGTGAAGCAGAGCACCAAGCTGCACGCTGAAAATCTGCTGCACATGGGCACTGGGACTATCTGGCAACATGCCTTGGGGTAACTTCTGGATGAGACCTTGTCCGCAGAGCTAGAGGGAAAATCCAATGCCGAATTTCTCTTGTGTCCCCAGGGAATGACTTCATCATCCCAATGCACTGCCCAGAACTGGAAATCGCTCGTGTGGCCACCAGAATCTTGGATGAGCTGGTGAAGCCCTTGCGGGACATCCAGATTGATGACAATGAGTACGCTTGCCTTAAAGCCATCATCTTCTTTGATCCAGGTAAGCTTCCTTCCTGATTGCCAAGCATGGGGCTTGAAAAGGAGGTGAGGGCTCTCCAGTAACCAGGAAAACCCCTCGGCAGCAGCTCTGCTTTTCACCCTGCTTCTGCTGTAAGGAGTAATACTTAGCAGCGCAGCCAGGACATGCTAGGAGTGACCTATTCCTGAACACATACCTATTTAGCAAATAGTAACTCCAGCCAGACCGATGGCCACACCTTGAATACTGTGTTCAGTTTTGGGCCCCTCACTGCAAGAAAGATGTTGCGTTGCTGGAGCATGTCCAGAGGAGAGCCACAAAGCTGGGGAGGGGTCTGGAGCACAAGGCTTACGAGGAGCGGCTGAGGGAATTGGGGGTGTTTGGTCTGGAGAAGAGGAGGCTGAGGGGAGACCTGATCGCCCTCTACAACTGCCTGAGAGGAGGGGGCAGCGAGGTGGGGGTCGGCCTCTTCTCCCTGGTAACAGGCGATAGGACGAGGGGAAATGGCCTGAAGTTGCGCCAGGGCAGGTTTAGGTTGGACATTAGGAAAAACTTCTTTACAGAAAGGGCTGTCAGGCTCTGGAACAGGCTGCCCAGGGAAGTGGTTGAGTCCCCGCCCCTGGAGGGATTTAAAAC